GATCATTAAAAGTGTGCACATAGATGCTGTATTCATTATGTAATCACCAGTTAACCAGGCCACAACAGGAGAGAACATTTGTCTCTGAAATCAAAGTTTTCCAGCTTTTCAGATGTGTGTGTTTTTCTTTCATCAGACGGTTTTTAACCCAAATATTCCTGAAGGGCCAGCCAGGTGCCTCCGGGCCCCGAGGACCCCTAGGAGTGCAGGGAGAACAAGGTAGTTTCATCATGAAGGGATGCAAATTATTCTGCCCCTTACAAGTGTGAGGGAAACTTCTGAAGCAATTGGAAACAGGACTCAGAGACACGGGGAGAGCTTTTTGGTCGAGCCAAAGTGCTGTACATGCAATGAAAACACTTTACTACAATAGCAAACAGAAAACAATAAATTACAACAGCAAATATAAAAATCACACACAGGGAAAAGTCAGGAGTCATGCTCCGCTCTGACTAGAAGGCCAGGGAGAAGAAGTGTGTCTTAAGAGTAGATTTAAAAAACCCTAGGGTCTGGGCCGACCTCACATGGAGGGGCAGAGTGTTCCAGAGGGCCAGCTGCTGCGAAGGCTCGGTGCCCTCGGGTTTTGAGCCTGGTCTTGGGCACTATCAACAACAGCTGGTCAGCAGACCTTAAAGCTCTGGCTGGGGTGTATCGATGGAGGAGTTCGGCTACAGGCCGGAGCCCATTTAGGGCTTTGAAAACAAATAAAAGGAGTTTAAAATAAATTCTGAACCGAATTGGAAGCCGGTGCAGTGAGGCCAGAATTGGGGTGACGTGGTGACGCTTTTTATGGCCAGTGAGTAGACGTGCAGCTGCACTCTGCACTAGCTGCAGGCGTCTAATTGATGCCTGGTCCATACCCACGTACAGAGCGTTGCAGTAATACAACCTCGAGGTAACAAAGGCGTTAATGACCCTTTCTAGTTCTTTAAAAGATAAAAAGGACTTGGTCTTGGCCAATAGTCATATTTTAAGAAAGCAGGTCTTGACTACGGTGCTGACATCCCTTTTAATAAAGTTAAACAAATTTACTTATTCAGTGCGATGACTCAATTTCTCTAACCACTCTTTAAAGATTTAGAAAGGCTTTGCATGTTTCTGCCTTCACATCGTAATTCTTCACTTCTCCCATCTTTAAAATGTGTTAATTTCACATTTTGAACTTCTATTGCAATCTACTATTTCTGCCCTTTTAAATAAATGTTTTGGTCGTTAATAGATGCTACAAGGAACAACATACTGTATATCAAATGAGTGAGTAAGCGTTCTGAGGTGTTTATTCATTCATATATTTGTCCCTCACAGGTTCACATCCCGTATCACTGAGCTGATGAAAGTCCTGAAGGATCTCAATTCTGGCAAATATGAGCGCACCATGGTCTCCCAGAACGAGAAAGGTACACACCACTCCTGATATGTGACGGAAACTAATCTGATCTCAGGTAACTGGAGATTTGAGCAGCGAGAATAACTGACTTTGTTTTATTCCATCCTCTTTAGATTCAGACTCTTCCCAGAAGCTCGTCCTGGTGCCTGGAAGTGGAAATGTTATCAACAGAGACAACATCATCAAGTAGGTTTCTTATTCTATATCAGCATATTTGACTTCTTTCCATAAGAGCAGCTTCAAAACAACATTTGTGTGTTTTGCAGATTCGACCACACCCCACTAGCAACACCTAATGGAGACGTTTTGATCAAAGACCTCTCCTTTGAGGTATTATTCATCGCCAACACATTTGTTTGAAATATGGAGTATAGTTGCATGACTTTAATAAGACTTTAATGTGTTTCTCTGCCCTCTGAAGGTGAGCTCCGGCACCAACGTGCTCGTGTGTGGACCAAACGGCTGTGGAAAGAGCTCTCTGTTCAGGGTGCTCGGAGAGGTGAGAGACAGAAGATATTCTTTGTAAAACACGTGTTCACCATGTGTTTCTTTTGTAAATAAAACAATGTGTGTGTTTTTGTTTTTTTAAAGCTGTGGCCTCTGTTCGGAGGAAGTCTGACAAAACCAGAGAGAGGGAAGCTCTTCTATGTTCCACAGGTAAAATGTTGTCAATGTTCCACTGCTAACAACATCCAGGGTGTCCGCGGGGTCTTAAAGAGTATTACAAGTTGATCAATCAATTTAGCGAAAATGAAGGCTATTAAAAAGTATTAAACGGCATTTCCCAAGGTGTTACATTTTGTATCTTGTTTTCAATAAGTATATAAATGGTCCAAAGAGGTTGTATTCTACAGTCTGCCTGAATGTAATCATTGCGTAGGTGTGTAGTGTGATTCTGTGTAGTTTATTTATGGCATCCCGTTGGATTTGACGTCATTTGAACAGGACATCGCACGCTCACTGCTTGATAGCGCCGAAGGTCCGTTTACGCCGGTTGTTAAACAACATCGTTATGGGGAAATGCAAGTCTGCGTCCAAATGGTTGGAAGATAGGGAGAAAGGACAATCAATACTGTATATAGTGAATGTGAGGTAAAGCGTGTCGCCAAGGTAACCGGTTAAAACTCAAAGTGGTGATGAGCTCTTAAAATGTATGGAAAGGGTCTTAAAAAAGGTCTTAAAAGGTTTCATATTTGACTTCAGGATTCCTGCATATACCCTGACATCATTTAACATATTATAAAGATAATTTATAAAAGATATAATCTATAATTACACTTAAAATAATAATAAAAAAACACATTTATGTACCGCTATCTCTATGTGCATGTTAGCTAATATTTACATTGTTACCAACATGCAGTATATATGGAAATGACAATATGCAATGTCATTTTAGAATATTTAAATAGCAATATAGCCCTGCTATAAACAAGATAGTACAACAAATGTAGTCCTAAAATACAATAAATTGCTTATTGAATTTTAAAACTTTTGTTTTGTTTAACGCTATAATTATATCGCGTGTTTAGGAGTAGTGCCTCTCTTAGTTCCAGTTTTGCATCTCAGACTGAATAAAAAAAACT